GTGTGTGTGTGTGTGTGTGTGTGTGTGTGTATGTGTGTGTGTGAGTGTGAGTGTGTGTGTGTGTGTGTGGATCCTAACTGATTCTCTGTTCTCTCTCTCTCTCTGAAGGGAATCGGCGGTCGGGAAGCTCCCATGAAAGCGACCAAACCGTGGAATAACCAGCGATTTATCGGCATGTTTGATGTGGTGAACACGACCAAACAGGACTCCGGCCGTTACCGATGCATCGTCCACTCGAACATAGGCGTGGGAGTGTCCAACTACGGAGAGCTGACCATCAAACGTGAGTCACACAAACACACACACACACACACACACACAAACACGCACGCACACACACACACATGCACACACACACTCACACTCACATACACACACACTCACACGCACACTCACTCACACGCACACTCACACGCACACACACACAAACACGCACGCACACACACACACAAACACACACACACACACACACACAACACACACACACACACACACAAACACGCACGCACACGCACACACACACAATGTGCGTGCGTGCGTGTGCTTGTGTGTGTGTGTGTGTGTGTGTGTGTGTGTGTGTGTGAAGGACGGCATGCAGCTCCTCTACAGATGGATGGATGGAGCTGGAGCTGAAGCTGAAGCGTCTGTTGAGGAGATTGATGTGTGTTTTATGCTAATGCCTCTCGCGTGTGTTTGGCAGTAAGAGCTGCCCTTGACCGCAGCCGTGTTTTCACGGGTTCGCCGTCCCACGCAGCCCTTCAACAGTCATTTGATATGAATTTATGGCGCCGGCCGCATCTGAATCCTCTGCGTTCTCTGCTCTCTGACGCCGTAATGGCCTTCGATATTTCTTCAGCTCTTTCTGTGTCTCTCTCGCTCAATTGAATTTATGTTCCTGTAGTTTTTACCTCACAGCTTTATGTGATTGATCGCTATAATCTCGCCTGCCTGGACAGAGAGCTGTCAATCACGTTCAGAGGCTCCGCCCTCAGGCCGGAAGACACGCCTCTGTGTGACATTTAATGCACTCCAAATAAATGATGTTCCTCTTGTTCTTGTCGTTTTTCAGTAGAAACGTCTAAACATTAAACAGTACAGCATTGATTCCCTAGTTAGATTGTAGAGCTATAAAACAAAACTTTTTCATTTTTGTAATTTTATATTTTTTGTAATGTTTCTTAGTATATTTAGAACTTTTCATACGCATTTTTATGTTTTTATACTATAACATTTATCATTTTTATAATATTTATTATTATAAATATTATAGGAGTATATAAAATGTGAAGACAACTTTTATTATTTTATAACTTTTAAAAATGTTTTATACTATATTATCAATGTAATAACATGTAATATATATAGACAGTCAGAAAGATGTATATTTTATACTTTTTAATTATTTAAACACTTTTTAATACTTTATGTATTAATGTTAAATAGTAAATTGTAAAATATTTATACTTATATTGTAAAATGTGTGTATTTTTTTGTTTTACTGTAGAAGTATAAAAAGGTGAAAATATATATTTTCAACTATACTTTTTAATATTTTTACTATTTTTAAGATAACTTTTATATATTTTAAATGTTTTTACTTTAACTTTTATAATGTTTTATAGTGTGTTTTAAACTTTTTGTTCTTATATTTTTAATATAAGATTAATATTATATCTTATATTTTATTATATTTTCCACATTTTTTATACTTTTTATATTATAACCTTTTAAATACTGTTTTACAGTACATTTTAAACATTTGTACTCTTATTATTATTTATAAATACTTTGCATTTTTATTCTTTTCATACTATTACTTTTCATTAGGTTTTATACTATATTTAAATTTTGTTATAATTTTATTTCATTTAAATTGTATAATCATTATTAACATTTATGAACTTTACACAAAGTTACAGTTACAAGTGCTGAGTCCACCTCATGTAGGCTTTGAGATGGTGAGCACAGAGACACTGTTGAGATCTCAGAAACTCTCCAGGAGACACGTGTGAGATTACCGACGTCTCTGCCGATGCGTTTGATTCCATCAGATCAGCTGAAAAAGCTGTGGTGTGTGTGAATGATGTGAGGAGCTCGTGTCGCTCCGCGCATGACCGATGTCTCTATAAAGCCCAGCCTCGCGCCGCTGCATCAGACAGCCTGTTAGCGGAGATCTGTGGCCCGCGGGTCAGTGCAGACGGATGGCCGTCTCTGAGAGGAACA